GGAAGTTAAAGGCAAATACTGAAATAACGAATTTCGTAACTAGTTTGATCACTGGCTGAACCAAAAAAATTGTGAAAACTATTTTTTTTTTCAGATTCTAGATGACCTAGTGAGTTCTGAAATATGATAGTCTTAAAACCGGAAGAAATAAATTTCAACACTTATGTATAAAAGTAATTGAGCAAACGATTATTTTATACAGCCTAAAAGTTCATTCTTCTATGCTTGCAGCTTTCACTTGTTCAATAACCGTTGACAGATGACAAACGTATGTGCATGACACGATATTGTTTAGGAAGAACACTTGACTACATATTAGAATAAAATTCTTTAAGCACATTTTTATTGATTCAGTCTCAACAGTCTGATCCACCTGAATACATTATCAATAGTGATAATTGTTGTAACGGTTGCTTAAGATATTTCACGGCTAAATCTTATTGCTTAGTATTCTTGACACAAAACACTGGACAAGTAACCTAAATCAGAACACGGTTGAATAGGAAGGATTGTATTCCAAAATAGCAAGGAAAAGAAGCTGGAGGTGATGGCGAAAGCCAAGGCAAAGAAGGCTTGAAGGCGAAGAAGGCTAGAAGGCAAAGATAAATACAATGCTAGTCTATTTATAGCCTTTACGTGAGAAAACTTCTGGAAGAAAATTCACGTGATCGACTGGACTGGATTTGACCAATCAGCATGCAGCTAATAATTTTTTTCTATCCTGTTCTCCAAGCTTCGATCAGGCGCTGATTGGATAGAAATTTAGCCAATCAGCGCGCAGTAACGTAGTCGTGCTTCAATTCCATCTATGTCCCGCTAACAGATAATAATACATACAATATCAGTGACAGAAACAAAGATAATAGCGATGTTGCGAAGGGATGAAAAGTGAGAAGGAAATGCGAAATAAGAGCGGGCAGTCGGTTATGCAATAGGAAATTGGAACTTTCCATGGAGATTTTGACGATGAGCAATATTTTAAAATTCGCAATCACATCATTAATTGCGACTGACTGAAAATTTCACTGATCAACTTGTTGACTATACCTGGAGCTCTGAACAGAAACGAATGAAATAATATCATGTTTCCGTTTTGATAGCTGTCGTATCGAAATCAAGGTTTGGACTGAGGAATAACTGTCTAGGTAGTTTAGATACGCGTCTTGCCCAGTTAAATTCAAGACAAATTATTTGGATAAAAAACCGTTATAATATACATCGAAAATATAGATACCTACATTATTACCTAAATGATATTACCACTAAGCTATTCAACCGAATGTTTTTCAGTTATTCAAATAAGCAGCAAGAAATAAATGTTATTCTATCCCTCCTAGATAGACCAGATTCTTTGCAACATAGAGTGTTTTCAGTTCTCGAAGGGTGCTTCAATTCAACATCAAAATGCATTATTCCAGTTAATGCAATCGACATAATCAATACAGGAACAAATGAATATGACTGCGGCCATTACTAGGTATTAGGTCAAACAGCATAAATCAGTTCAGAAAAAATCACAGAATTATAATAAAATACAGATTTTCTCCCTCGATCAGAACACGTCTCCTACTTCTGATACTAACATTAACTGTAGTAGTATGCATAATCTTCGTACCATCAAATATGATCTCAGCAATATTCAAGCCTCAAGTAAAACCCTCAAGCCTATGGCAGCTGTGGTGCGGGTGAGATATCCTCCCTACTTTTTAAAATGGCAGGACCAGACATCCCAGCGCTTTTGCACAAAATTTTCACCTTATTCCTTCAGTATGGTATATACCCTGAATCGTGAAAGTTGACTCATATTGTCACAGTAAATAAATCTGGACCGAAAGACTTTATCCGAAACTACAGACCGGTTAATATCACCTCAGTTATATCACGTGTGATGTAGAAAGTGATCAAAGATCAACTATCTGATCACGTTCCCAGGGAAGGTCACATTGACCACTCACAACATGGCTTTATTAGAACTAGGTCATGTACCACATGACTGTTTTATTTTTTTAATGAGGTTACCAGCATACGCGATCAAAAGCAACTAGTAATTGTGTTGTATTTTGACATAAAAAGGGCTTTCGACAAAGTACCTCACAACATCCTAATCAACAGACTTCAGTCAATCGGGGTCACTGGCCACCTGTTGCTATGGATTAGGTCGTTCCTCACAGATAGATATCAGATTACCGAAATCAACTCACACACATCTACACCTCGACCAATTACCAGTGGTGTTGTGCAGGGCAGTGTTTTGGGTCCACTACTTTTCATAATCTACATCAACAGCATATGCAGTTGTTTCAACACCGGTAAAACCTACCTCTATGCGGATGACCTAAAAAGGATTTATCAAACTAGCAAATCTGACTTAGGAAACTTGTTGCACATTATCCAGCACGAACTCAATACTGTAGATGTCTGGTGTAAGCAATCGAACCTTGAACTTAATACTGAGAAATATGGCTGGATGTGTTTTGCAGACACATCTCTCAAATTAGATTTCACTCTCAACAGCAATGGATTGCCCAAAGTCGCATCTGTAACTGATCTTAGAGTGCATTATCCGCACAGCCTTAACGTTTTCAAACATATCTCCAACAGAGTTTCCCCGAATCAGAAGAATGCTTGGTTTCATCTTTCGTAACTTCCTTCATAGAGAATCCAGAACAATTCTCTACAAAACATGAGTGAAACCTATTGCTGAAAGCTGCTATTTCTTATTTTCTAACTTACGCATGTCTGATATGTTGAAGCTTAAAGGAATACAAAAGAACTTTGCTCGGAAAGTCCTAAATCATAGCTCACTCACTGACTATCCAACACGATGTAATGAACTCAGGCTTGATCCATTATGGAAAAGAAGGCTTCACTTCAATCTGATCCTTTACTTTAAACTCCTACACAAGCTCACATATTTCTCCTGTAGTTTAGTCCTTATCTATGGCCCATGTACACATAACCTTCGAGATAAAGTATCTGCGGTCAAAGTTGAAAAGTATAGATTCAAAACGCGAGAAAACGTATCCTCTCTAAGTGTACGCTTATATGGAATAGGCTTCCCTCAAATATATGCATGGCAAGTGGGTTACATTAGTTTATTCAACTTCCTAATGATGCTCTCAGTTGTACTGACTCTTCTGCACTCGTGAACATACTCGCACCCTGCTTTCATTTTCTTAGCTCTGCATACGTTTTAAAAACGATGAACTCAGTGCTGCGTCTTATTTAGTTATTTTTACCCTCCTAAGTAGCATTAAGCTTTAGTAGTTGAATATAAATCTCTTTACTTTTTATTTGAAATAGACAGGTTATTCTACTCACTGGGTCGATCGCCACTGGTTAACTGTAAACTGGTTGATTAGAACACACTCTACTCTCCTGGGCGCAACCTTATCAACACTAACAACTGTGTGAGTTTCACACTGCCTATGATCAATTATACTGTTCTCAATTACACGCTATGGACTTGCGTTGATCCCTCAGTGTTTT